CACGCACGCACGCACGCACGCACGCACGCACACGTACACGTACACGTACACGCACACGCACACGCACACACATACACACACACCGTAGGGAGGGTTTGGAATCATAAAATATTGTGGACATGACAAAGAACCCAGAGGGTTCTTATCTCTACGGTATACGTGATACATCAGAGATCTGATATCTACCACGTCCTCGTCACAGATCCTGAGTTATGCTGAGAATAGATACTGCAAAAATATTTTTTCCGCTAAAAGTAATTTCAAATATTTGAAGGTTACACTTAACATTTTTCGAAAAAGTGCTTGGTATAAAAGTTTCATGTTTTTTCGTGTATCTTTAATCTAAGTCCACAATAAAAGATATGTTCCATTGAAAAAATCAATTTCCGGTTTAAACAGCTCATTTCCGTTGGAAACTGCGAATTTAAAATAAGTATTCCCATTCGATAATGTGATTTACTTATTAAAATTTTTTGATAGAAACCTTTACCTTGATTTTATTCTAAAAATGGAAATAAGAGAAACAACCATCAAAGATCTTCATTTTGACAAATGTTATCAACGTTATGACCCCGTACAATTTAGAAGGTTATGACTATCATTTGGATATCTTAGATAATACTATTAGTGGAGGTACTGTAACCTTCAAGCTTTATAACTCAAAAAGTACTTAATGAAAATAAATTTAATTATAGTGTTTTTAAAAGAACTCGAGGCAAGCTACAAGAATATGCAATAAAAAATTAGGATTTCCGTTTAAAAAAATCGACGTGACCTTGACCTAACCTTGGCAATGCCACTTGAGGTCAAACTCATAGCACCAGAAAATAGATCTTTTGGAACCCTATAACTTTTGTCTGAACACTTTTTCGATTAAATCTTATCCTGCGAAGATAAAAGGGTGGAACGGGTGGTCTGAAACATCCGTATATATATATAGAGCAATATAGAAATATACACAGCAATAAAAATTTGTGATGCAAAAATAAACCGTATATAAACAATTTATTTACAATATTTAATTTAATTTACAATTTTCATCGGTAAAGTGTTCATAATTGCTATTCTTTTTTCATTTCGCATTACAGCTATATCACCACAATTAATTGGTCCGATTTCCTCATTTGCAACGCATACTGCAATTGGCATTACGTCATTTTTCAAAATGCAAATATTATGTAGAACATAGCATGTAATGATGAATTCCAGTATTTTCTTTACATCTGTTAAAGGCAAACAATCCAATAAAATTCTGAATCGTATTTTCAGTAACCTAATAGCTCGTTCTATTTCCATTCTGGTAGCTGAATGACAATAGTTAAAATTTTGTTGCCTGAGTGAAAGATGTCCGTTGTTTCTAAATAGTACCATCACATGAGGATGAATACTATAAGCAGCATCGCTAATAATGTGGGAGTTATTTGAAAAATTAACATTTGGCATGTCCAAAAAACATGCCACTGGAGAATTTCTAAAGAATCTAGCATCATGTACTGAGCCTACTTGTCCTGCGTAACAGTATATGAAAAGGCCACGAGAATCACATACAACTTGTACATTTATAGATGGAAATCCTTTTCGATTAATGTTCGAAGCAGCATCTTTTACTGGTGCTCAGATTTTAATATGCGTTCCAATAGCACCCATTACATTTGGAAAGCCACATTTTGTTTTAAATTGTTCAATTACTTGTATGGCAGTATCTCCTTGTGGCCATTTGATGAAACGAGATGCGATGCAATGAAGAGTATATGTAACTCGCTTCAAGGTTCGAAAAGCAGTGGCTTTACCGATTCCAAATTTTACATATACCGATCTAAAATACGTACATCACATAATGTAAATACAATTACCAAAAACTTAATCAATTGCAGTAGCAGTTATATATAAATCTAATAAAAAGCATATAATTGAGTATACGCCTGTAGGAATCAAGAGTTGCCATAAATCAAATTGCAATAAGTAATTGTTTCTTTGCAGAAATTTGTTTTTGATCACTCGTTGCTTGTAATCCTTTGCCAATTAAAGATAATACCATCTTAAAGGTTTCGGGGAACATTCTAAAATATAAATGATATTATAAATAGTATATATAACAATTAACAATTTAAATATAAAAATAGAGATAAGATATTTCATGCATATGTTGTACTCACCAAAAGTGTTTTTTAAACACCTGTCTGAAGTACTTAGCAATTACGTTTAACATAATCTTTACAGGAGCTGTAATTTTTATAGGAGCAATAACTTCTCCGCGTGTTGTATTTAACTTAAGAAAGCTATATAATATGTATATGACAGTCTTTCAAAGAAATATCTTCATTATCATCATCGTTATCACTAGATTCGCTGTTCTCACTATCAATATTGTCATTTTTTACCATCATTATCAAAGAATCTATTGTCGAAATTATTTCCATTGTTGTTACGGCGTCCACGTTAATGTGCGCCGTGTATCGGTTAGGCGCATTAAGAACCATTCCAATTTAGTACATGTGAAGACTCACATCGTGCGTATCGATAAAACAACGGAACAATTTCAATGCACTTCGGAGTCACTCATGCAATCCATGCACTTAATGCGCGATTCAGAACGCACTTAATTAAAAAATTTGAGCGAACAGAAACACGCGACCGATCCGTCCGGAAATGAGGAAATTTAACGTTCCGAACGGAAGGAACAGCAGGATCAAAAATTCTCTAGCAGAATCCGATCCGTCATTAATGGGACAGCCCTCTCAGGAAGGCTAGAGTCCCTATAATAAAGAGTTTGGCTAATCTTTCTAGTTACACAAAACATGGCGTCGTAGATAAAGGTATGATCAACTGATATGATACTATAAAGATATCGTAAACAGTATATAATCATTATAAATAAATGAAATAAATCATTTTTACATATTACGTCGTGCGGACTCACGCGACTCTTTTCTTTCATAGAGATCTCGAATTCCTCGAAACACTAAAATTTTATATTCTTTCCTTTTTTTCTCTATCTTAAAAACTAAAATAAGGAATCCGGTATCTCCTCGTAAATGTCGCTCCGAGATAAAAATCAATAATAAATACCTATGGAAAAGCGTAAGACCGGCGCCAAGATTAACGGTCGCGGACGATTCTCGCGAATTACAAAATTACAAAATTTAAGAAACGGCACGCGACATTCAGGAGTAGATTCTGGGTGGTCCCGTGGCGACGATGCATGCGCGACTTCTCGGCGCCCGAGACGCGCGTTTCCCCATAAATCTTAAGGTCATAAAATTTTGGAGTTTCACTTTCCCACTCTACCGATTCCTGTCAACATCCTTTCCTCCCCCAAAATCTTGACCAATCTAAGAGCAAAAGAAAATCCTACTACCAGCCAACGAAACCTATTCCACCAATCCAAATTTGAGTAATCTGGGGCGATTAGTATAAAAATCGCGGTTCCGCAACCCTTGCATCAGATAGATAGCAGATTTTTCTCTATTCGGAGTTCCGGAGTTTTACTTGTCCCGATAGAGACAGTGAGTCGGTCGCAATACTCAAAGTCGATACATTCAGTGAGTTGGTCGCGTTATTCAAGTTCCCGATAGAGTCAGTGAGATCAATAGTATCATTGGGATCAAAGGGCTGTTTCCTGATCGAGGAAGTCCGTAACTGAGTAACATCGAAGCTGAGTAACATCCGACGCCACCTTCTCTGCGGTTGGGCCTTACATCGCCAGTAAGTTTCCAATTATTTTACATCAAGTAGTCCCTCCACGTCTTCCCCCTTTTTTTTTTCTTTGGGGATCCATTAAAAATAAAATTTTTTAGTGCGTTCACGCCGTCCATTCGCCCCTCGTCGCCGCCGCCTTGACGAGAATCACCCGATCGCGCCGACTCGCCGCCCGCGCCCGGATTTCTCACCAAAGCCAATCGACAGTCTCGGAACCGACTCCCCTCATACAATTCCCCTTGGCAACTCTCTCTCCACCCCTCGAAATCTCATATTCCCCAATATCAAATCCATCCCCGATTCCCCCTGCTGATTTCTCCCCGCATCCACCATCACCCCCTCCAATTGATACCACCCCCTTAATCCCACATAATGGCTACTCTCGCGCTGCCCCCTTTCCTCTTCTTTTCTATGATGCCCAGGAACTCCTAGAGTACATGGCACACTTTACCCCCTCCAACCAAGATTTGGTAGTCGCGAGGATCCCAGGATCCGACGGCCTTTTCTCGGTTCCGGTAGCGTCCCTTATCCCCCTCGACCTTTTCTCCCTCAATCCCTATAATCCTAGCCAGTACTAATAGCACCTCCCCCCTTTCTTCCTCTCAAATCCACTCACCTCTTTCCCTATTTATACTCTCGTTATTCTTTCGTCATTTTCTCCTCCCTTCCATTCTTCTATGACACCACACACACACACACACTCTCACACATCGATAAACGTGTACATTTAATCAAGAAAACCAAAAATTGTATTATTGTTTTTAATCTGATAAATTATATTTATATTTTATTCAAAAATGTATCACTCCAGTTTTTTTTTCTTAATTATATCATTATAAAATTAACTTCCCGGTAGTCTTTATTTAAATAATATCTCTCCTCGTATTATTAAGTTCTCCCGCGATTGCACTTCGCCTTCTCCCCGGTCACTTGGATTAAGTTCCGTGACCGAAAGTCAGGGCATACGGCCGTACTAGCGCAGCTGGCGTTAAAGTGCGCCCCTCTTGGCACACTGACCCAGTTTGGGCCCTTTTTCGAAGTACGTCCGACTCGTGTGTCCGTTTAGCGGAGCACGAGCAGAGGTTTCCGCTTCGTCCTCCGTTCAACCCCCGGTTCGTTAGGAGCCTCAGGACGAAGCGAAGCGCCTCCCGATTTGCGTCGGTCCTTCCCCACGGCTCCCTTGCGGTCCGGAGCCCGGACACGACCAAATCGGTCTAACAATTCGGTTCCTTGTTACGTTCACCCCCTCAGTTCTTCATGCGCGCGGAGCTTGGACGTAACACATAATTTGATCACAGACTGTGTAAAAAGTAAGTGTAATATATATTGAGTGGATCCATATATTCGTTCGCTTTTTGTTAGTAGTGCAAATTTTTTCCGAATATCTCCGGTTCTGGTTGCCTAATCGGGCAATCCAAATATGTTTTGGAAAGGTGACAGTCCGCTCTTTTCATCTGTCAAATTTGGTTTCATTGGCATTAGTTTTGTTTGTGCTATAGACCTGTGAACATGTCGGAGAATAAGGTGCATTTTCGGCACATTTTGCTTTATTACTTCAAGAAAGGCAAGCGAGCTGCGGAGGCCCACCGAAAGATATGCAGCGTATACGGGGACGATGCCTTAACAAAACGTGCCGCTCAGAAATGGTTTGCCAAATTTCGTTCCGGAGATACGAGTCTTGAAGATGGACCCCGCAGCGGTCGGCCCACCGAGGTTGATTCGAATGATATCAAGGCACTGGTTGAGCAAGACCGGACGCTAAAGGTGCGAGAGATTGCGGAGACACTTAAAATAGGTTATGGAACCGTACAAAGGCATTTGCAACAGCTTGGCTACGTGTCCCGCCTCGATGTTTGGGTGCCGCACAAGCTGACCGAGGAGAACCTGGCCAACCGCATATCCATCTGCAATTCACTTCTGAAGCGGCACGAAAGCGACCCGTTTCTCAAACGAATAGTGACTGGCGACGAAAAGTGGATCATCTATGACAACATAGTGCGCAAGAGATCGTGGGGAACCGCTGGCGAGCCGCCGAATGCCACCCCGAAGGCCGGCCTGCATCCGAAGAAGATTTTGCTATCCATATGGTGGGATCATCGTGGTGTGCTGTTTTACGAGCTGCTTCCTCAGGGAAAAACGATCGATTCGAAGATCTACTGCACGCAGCTAACGAAATTGAATCAAGCATTGCGACAGAAACGTCCAGAACTGATCAATCGCAAAGGTGTCATATTCCACCATGACAACGCCAGACCCCACACCGCAATAATCACTCAGCAAAAATTAGTGCAACTTGGCTGGGATGTTTTGCCTCACCCACCGTATTCACCACGCCATCCGACTATCACTTGTTCCGGTCCCTGCAAAACTCCCTCAACGGGAAATCGTTCGCTGATCAGACAGCTGTGAAAACGTACCTCGACCGGTTTTTCGCCTCTAAGCCCCAGACCTTCTTTGAGAGCGGAATAATGAAATTGTTGGAAAGATGGCAAGAGGTCATCAACAAAAACGGAGAATATATTATTGATTAAAATTCATCCTTTGATGTATGAAAAAAACTTGTTTCATTTTAGCCTTCAAAAAGCGAACGAATATATGGATCCACCCAATATATAGAAAACAAATTATAATGTATGCTGATATATAAAAATCGATTTCTAACCTTTAATACCCAATGCGCATTATAGCTAAAAGTAAGAAATCAAAAATTTGGTACGCTTTTTAATAACAAATTAGAATTTTCGCCTATTTTTTCGACAGTTATTGCCCGCTTAAAATTTGCTTAAAAAGCGTACCAAATTTTTGATTTCGTACTTTTTCTCAATTTTATAGGTTTACTCTATGCCTAAACTCATCAGTAATCGAAATATGTTTTGTTTTTTGATTTCAGACCAATAAAAAAAGCTGGGCGATGGCAGTCGTTTTACGTCTTTCACAAAAACGGCCTTCGTGGAGGGACTGTACCGCCGCCATTTTGTATAAAAAAAAAATTTTTTTAATTACCTGACACATGTCATTAAATTATGCCAAAAGTGCAAAATGATTTAATTATTTTATCACCCTCAAAATAATTTACGAAAAATGACTGATTTTCGAGCATTTACATGTATTTCTCCCCTTAATAGTACCGAAAAAGAATTTTCGATGAGGAGTTTTTTTAAATTAAATAACAAAACAAAGGACTCTTTCTAAACATAATAAATAAAAATAAATATCGGACAAAGTAAGAATCAACACATTTCTTTCAAATACACAAAAATATATATTACAATTAACAGAGATAACAATTTATATAACGCAAAAAATTAGAATATAAATTAAGAAATGATTAAGGTTACAAGTTTCGGCTACCGGTTTGAACCCTCTTCAGACATTAGCATAACGAAAAAGTCGCAGAATAAAATCAAATTATCGCAAATGATCACATATGTATTCACAGTTCGGGTGAGTCTTGATCTCGAATTCAACATAATTTCCGTACGATTGAACCGTCAAATGTATTAAAAGTATCTTGGTAAAGTTCTAGTTGATAAAAAGGT